TTGTAATCTCGGGAAATGTTAATTTGTTAAATGCTATAGCAGATGGAGCAAATGAAAAAGTTTCAGTTTCGGTAAATAATTAAATTAAATTAAAGCTTTTTTTCCAATTTTTCTGATTACAAGTTCTGCAAACCCCTCAGAAAAAAATAAAAACAAAAACTGTCTATTTAAGAAAAATAATAAATAAATCACTCGCCAAGTTTCGCAATCTCTTACAAGAAATAAACTGGGAACTATTGACGACGTAAATAATAGGGTAGATTAGGGTAATATGAGCACCTTGGTAATATGAGCATACTTAAAGATTTATTAGATGTAAGCAGTGAAGTTAAAGTTGCTTTATGTATTTCGAATCGACTTTATGCGGTGATAACAGGAATCAGTACAATTAGCGTAAACTTATACGCAGTTATTAGCGGATATCATCTAATTAAAACGCTTTTAAATTTTTTGCTTTGTTAAAAAAAATCATCACGCATGAATAATTCCATGGCGCGATATATTGGTGCTAAAATAATGAAATTAATTTTTTCATAAAGAAAAATATATTAGCTAAAAATCCAATTCATTTTTGTTTGAAAAGTAATGCATAGAAACATTTATTTTTGACTATTTAAAGATACCACTTTTGTGTAATATGAGCACGCTCAAATTACCCAGTGCTTTTCATTGAAATTGCTTAGTTTAAAGTCCTAAAATAGCAGTGGTTTTTAATTGCTTCTTGAATAAAAACAAAACATCGTAAAAAATTTTAATATATTAACAATACTAAATATTTTTTTGTAACGTAAATCTAAAAAATTTTAATTTTTTTTGTTCAAAGGTTTGAGTTAACAAAATTGAAAAAACAAAGTATTAATTTTTTTTTTTTTTTTTGTTGCGGAAAACATAGTAGTATTGTTTCAACAAAATGTAGCTTAAAATTTGATCCTTTAATGATATTTTTTGTTAATCACGAATCCTTATATTCCAACAATTAGTTCTATTAAGCAGGTTGGTCTTTTTTTAATTAATTAATGCTATTTTTTTGAGCTAATTTAAAGTGCTCATATTACCAAGGGGTCAGGATAATACGAGCACTTTTGCTACTTTTTTAAAACTTCTGTGTTTTTTAAAAAAAATGTCAACTGCCCAAATATCTAAATAGATTATGAATAGGGATCCCTAAAAATTGTTGATTTGCAAAAATTTTGAATCCAGCATTTTTATTTTTGAAAATATTCCAATTTTTGCTTAAGGTGCTCATATTACCCTAATCTACCCTAGCTAAGATTTTTTCCCTCGTATGTTCTCTAAGCAATTAGAAAATTTTAGAGTTATTAATTATAAAAAATTGCCGAGTCCGTGGATGACGAAAGGACTCATTAAGTCATCAAAAAAGAAACAAAAACTGTACTAAAAATTTAAAAAAAAAAAGGAACTACAAAAATGAAATAAAAAAAAATGAGCTGACTTTTAGTGAGTGAAAGAAGTTTTGAAAGTGTTTTTAAAGAATAGAGTGACAGATTTCCCGATTACCTTCAGTCCTGATTCAGTATAACAATTAGCTAGAATTTCACGCCATACAGATTTAAGTTGATGAAAGACTCCAATATCAATCGATTTTACTTTATTTTTTAGAAAAGTTTGTATTATGCCAAAATAAAAAGCTAAAATTTTTTAAAAAGTGATCTGAAATTTTTTATGTAACAATAATACTTTACCTCTGGTTCACTTTAGTCAACTAAAAAAACGCAGCATACGATTAAAAATATAAAAAGCATTCCTGCATCTCTGTTATGATCTAGAGGTGCTTTGCTTCTAATGGTGTGAGGAGGTTATATGTTAAATAAGATAGGACAAGTTTATGTTTAGTTATTTGTAAAAATTTAAAGCAATTCGAGATTTTAATTTGAGTCAATTTTTTTTTCGATAGTTTTTTTCAATAAATTACATTTACTGAAAAAAACGACCTTGAACTTCTAATAAGCTTGAAATTAGTGGTGTTACGACTAAAATAATTCGACTGTCGACTAAATCGACTAATATATTTTCTAAAATCGACTAATAAATTTCAAGTCGACTAAAAGTCAATTTAGTCGAAATATGGGAATAATTTATTTTTTTAAAATAAATTGTCATAAAAATAATAAATTAGTTTATTTTCGCTTTCTATTTTTTAATATCATATCATTTAAATGTTAATGGAGCAAAGCAGTATGAGAGAGAGCACGGCCACTCCGACATTTGGACAATTTATTCCCAGACCCCAATTAGTATATTAATATTTAAGGTAGTTCAAATTTAGGAACTACCTTAAATATTAATATATATATATATATATATATATATATATATATATATATATATATATATATATATATATATATATATATATATCTATATATATATATATATATATATATATATATATATATATATATATATATATATATATATATATATATATATATATATATATATATATATATATATATATCTATATATCTATATTATATATATATATATATATATATATATATATATATATATATATATATATATATATATTTATGAAAATCAAAAGCAACGAGTAAACAAAAGAAGAAAAAAAATCATAAAATATATAACCGATTGTTTAATTAGGTATAATTGTTTTCCTTTTTTTTTTATGTATTATAGTGCTCCTAAAAGTCCTTACGGTCTTATTACAAAGCACCGGAAAAAGCCTAAATAATACCAACATGCGATGAATTAGATAAAACTTTATAGGAGTAAACAAAAAATAACTAATAGTTATAATTAGAGATGACATACTTCCTAAAATAGCCGTTCACTATGTACACTGCCATCGGCAAATAATAAATTTTATTTAGCAAGTTCTCTTAGTATAATGTTTTTCGTTAGCTGACCAACACTTGTAAGGGTTTACTGTCCAATTTAAGCGAGCGGTTTCATGTAAAACTAATATCGATTTTATTTTTCATTCGAAGTAGAGCTGAATTATCACCGGTAACTAGTAGCACCGGTTATGGTTCACCGGATGGTTCATCGGTGTTAAGTTGCCTTTCACTGAAAAGAGTTTATTGCATCGTTTTATCGCAACCGTATAACTGATATTCCCATTAAAATTATACGATATTTTAAGTTTAGGTTGTAGTGAAGATCTATCTATATCAACATCTGAAATTACCTCTGAAAAGCAAATACCAGAGCAGGTTATTTTTGTAATTATTTTGAGTGGTTTGAAGAGTATGATACGTTTATACATAGCTATAGTTAAATCAAATTGATGTAACAATAAATGTGTGCACAGCCAAGTCATAAATTAACAAAAATGTCAGAATACCCACAACATATTGTGGATAATCTGAAAGAAAAAATCCTTGTTAAGAGAAATTAATTATTTAAGTTTTCTTCAAATTTCAAATTTTAATTTAAATGCTTTTAGCTTAAATAATATACAAAATAAATGTATTTTTATAACCATAGAAAAGTTTTTCTCAGGTTATAAAAATACGTTTAGTTATCTTTAAAGATGATTTGACTTGTATTTTGCCAGTTTGTAGAGCGCCGTAAACTTTACAATACTATATCATTAAGTCATTTTTGACTTAATGTCTTTTGTCAGTATACCCACAATGTAAACTTCAATGAACGGGAAAAGATTACTACATCTGTCCAACAACATCCGTGGAGTAGTGAAATAACATCCGCACATTTTTGTGTAAGATCATCCGCTTTTTTCTTTTACTGAATTAACATCTGAGCAACAACATCCGAAATTTCATTGATGTCTTCTTTAAAATCTTTAGAAAGATGTAACTACATCCGAGAGTTTTTCTCAATGTGTAACTACGCCCGCCTAATATAATACATTATTAAATAAAATAAATTTTCAGACGTAGTTACATCCGAAAAAAAACAGATGTGTAACTACATCTGGTTAAAATAATGCATTTAAAAAAAAAAAAAATTTGGATGTAGTTACATCTGAAAATTCTAGAGATGTAGTTGCAGGGATGTTATTATACATCAATGAAATTTGGGATGTTATTGCACGGATGTTATTATACATCAATGAAATTTGGGATGTTGTTGCACGGATGTTATTATACATCGATGAAATTTCCGATGTTGTTTCACGGATGTTATTATACATGGCAAAAACGGATGTTATTGCCCTGACCCCAATGAACCAGGTCAGAAACCTCAAACGAGGAAAGTGTCGCCAAATATTCGGTATTATTGTAGTAGCGTGTAGGATAAGTAAAAGTTAATAAACTTCTCAAGAAAATAGAATCTGCTGGAGACGACTATATGTAATATATGGGAGCACAATTATGGATTAGCTCAACCAATTGAAAAAAATGATTCAGGTAATTGAAGTCGATTTGACAGTGGTTAATGAACTGTATATCTAATGTTTATTTTCTTTCAAGCAGTTGCATCAGGTTTGACAAATTTGAAAAAGAAGCTATTATGTTGTTGTCAAAATTTATTGTGAAAACGATCGCGCAATAAAAATTAATGAGATGACGTTTTTTGAAATACCAGACTTCACTAGGAGAAGAAAAATTGCTGTGGTTAATGTCATCATTAATCAACTTATTGAGAAAAGAAAAGGTCAATTATAATCAGCGAATATAATAGAATAGGAATAAACTGCGCGCACATTCAAATTTGAAAAAAGTTAATTTTTGAAACAATCTAATGTATTTATTTGCATTTTCAATAAAAATTGTTGATAAAAACGTTAACGTTTTTATTTAAAATTCTAATGATTATTAATTTTATTTTAATTTGGAAAAGTATTTAACATTTTTTCATAAAGTTAGTTTTGCATTTAGTTACGATATAGATGAGTCTTTACTTTTAATTAAATTTATTAAAAAGCTATAAAATATTGCTGAAATTTTTTTTTTTAATATTTTTATTTTTTCTGAATATCCAATGTCTATAATGGCAATAAAAGAAACATTTTCCATATAAAAATAAACATATAAAAAGCACTAAAGAAATAAATAAATTAAAAAATTTTAATAAAAAATATTTGATTAATACACATTTCGCTTGTGAATTGATAACTGCATTGAAATTCTTCACTGAAGGTATTGAAACAACTCTTATACCAGTTTTGGCTCAGTTTTACAAATATTATACAAGTTTTTTTAATACTCAATTTCATTAGGTATTCGAATAAAAGTCAAAAACCTCTATAACTTTTATTAAAACTCCATTAATTTATTGTGAGAGAATTTCCTTATCTACGCTTTCCAGCTTTTTTAACAGCTACAGTTGTCGCAGTCTTCTTTTTTTTCTCACCTCCACTAAACCAATTAGACATCATTTCAGATAAATCAGGTAATTTTTGGGGGTTATTCAAAACACTCATTTGTGACTGCATCTCCTAATAACAAAGATAATAAAAATATTCTATTATAAACAAATTGCATTCACAAAAATACTCAACATGGTCTATTTATTTAGCCTGGTCAGTCAAAGTTAATATGTCAACATAAAAGTTAATATAAAGGTGTTCACTTGAAATCTGGACAATGTTATAATCGTTATATAGAAAATTTTATTTATTAAAATTAAATTATACCATATATTAATAAAATGCTTGAATATTCGAAAACCAATATTGAAAACCAATTTAATTGTAAGTAAGAAGCTCTCAATTGTATATGTCGTTATATGATAATTCTTTAACTGGTAATACCACAATTAAAATATTTAGAACTGATTTACAAAACAGGTTTACACCAGGAAGAGTGTAAATATGACATAATGAAAAAATTGCTTTAATTTCATAACGTCATATTTAAATGGTTTTATGAAAACTTGTCAAAAACGCACAAGTTATGGATATTAAACTTAAAAAAGAAAAATAATGATTAAAGTAAACTTTAAACAAGTTTAATTATTGTAAATTATATAATAATTTATTAAAAATTATATAATAAATTAATGGAAAAAAAAAAATTTACTTTGAATAAATTTAATACTTTTACTCAATTTCATTCACAACAGCAAAAGTTACACGAAAAAGTAAATAAAACTAGGGTTGTGACCAAAACTAAAAATTGTAACTAACTAAACTAAAAAAACCGTAACTAAAATTAGTCAACTAACTTTTTAGTTGACTAAAATTAGCCGACTAATTTTTTAGTTAACTAAAATTACCAGACTAATTTTTTTTTCTTACTAAAATTACCTGACTAACATTTTTTGTTTACTAAAATTAGTCGACTAACTTTTTAGTTAACTAAAATTACACGACTAACTTTCTAGTTAACTAAAATTACCCGACTAACTTTTCAGCAAACTAAAATTACCAGACTAACCTTTTAGCTAACTAAAATTACCTGACTAACTTTTTAGCTGACTAAAATTACCCGACTAACATTTTAGTCTAACTAAAATTAGTCGAATAACTTTTTAGTTAACTAAAATTAACCGACTAAGTTTTTAGTTAACTCAATATATCCGACTTTGTTTCTAGTCCAACTAAAGAAATTTATAAATATATAATATAAATAATTTGGGTTCATGATATCATTTCTATTAGAATTTTTGAATATATTTGCTAATGCATGATCATTTTACCGCATATTACCGCAAAAATGAAAAAATATCAAAACAATTTTCTTTGAATTTTCAGTACCAAAGGTTTAACAAGATTCTTCAAGAAAATATTTCATAAAAAATCCAAAAAGTAAACATGGTAAACACACAAATATCTTTAGAATTGCATAAGCTACCAAGGATAGCGCAAAGGGGTGAGGGGATGGAGTGGTTGGCTTTGTGTGTGACATCCCATCAATGAACTTTAGCTCATTTAGTAAGCCAATTTGAGTCTTTTAGATAAGTAAGTCGGAAAATGTAGATTTTCAGAACAGTCACTTGGTAAATTTAAAAAAACAAGGATTTTATTTTCCTTTCTCTAGTCAGCTAAAATTTTAATGCCGCTTGCTATGTGTTACCTAGTTGTGCCAGCCCTATAAACTACAGTATATTACAGTAATTTGTTTTTATTATGTGCCACTTTTTTGGATCCAAATTATAAAAAATTTACAATTTTTTGAAAAGTACAAGAAAAATTTTTTTTTTTAATGCGTTAGAGAATTTTTGTCGGAATTTTATTTGACAAAAAAAGTTTGTGATATAATTCCAGTTAAAAAGGTGACAATCAATTTAAGTTATCATTTGACGATGAAGATGATGATTCCGGAATTGATAGTGACAAAATAATAAGTTTAGATTTATAAAAATAAATTAGTGTTTATATAAAATTGTCAGTAAATTAGCAAAATGTTTTTACACTTTTGGCATCAAAATCAACATGTGTTTCTAATATTGCATTGTATTTCAACAATGATTTTTTGTCCCCCTGCTACCAGTGCACCAAGTAAACGCCTTTTCTCTGACGCATTAAACACTTTGAATGACAACTGAATGTTTTCAATTGTTGATGTTTTTGTACGAAAATTTGGAATTTTTTAATTTAGTTAAAATTTATTAAATTTAATACTGAAGTTTTTTCTTGTAATAAATATTTTTTAATACATTTTATTGTTCTTAAATAAATATTATTAAATAAATATTATTTAGTATTCGAACTCTTTTGCGTGAAACTGATTTTTTTTTGTCACAAAAATGTAAAAAATAAATAAAGTTTTTTAAATTTAAAATGTGTTTTTTTAAAAATAATGGTAAAGAAAAAATTATAAATTAAAAAAATTAATGGGTAATTTTAATGTTCTTGAGTGTGCGGTTTTATCATAATGTTGCCTAAAACCGCTAACTTTTTTTTTTACCTTTATTATTTTAACAGTTTAATTTTTTTTTTTTTATTAATATTTATTTATATATTCTTTAGTATTTTTTTTAACATCTAATGAAAAAATATAAAAATAAATATAATAAAAAAGTCATTGAATTTTAATTGATAATTGTTTTGACCCGGTTTTACATGTATTTTAAAGTGCTTAAAAACTACGTATTGCATTTTTCAAGTAATTAAAATGTCATTAACAATTTCCTTGTTTTAAAAGGGACCGCAATTACTTAATAAAATGTTTTCATTATTCAACAGTTAAGCATTATTTAATACATTTTATACACTATTCAACAACTTATATTGCGGAAATTGCATTCTAAAATGCAAATACCGATCTTCCAATTAAATTTTGCAAGTATCGCCAACCGACAATTAACTATACTCTGAAAGCAATAAATATATTCATAATAACTTGTTTAGCGATTATCTTTTGGGTTTATGTCAATACTTTCGCCTGCCTAAATGTAGTGTTTGCGGGTTATAATAGTCGGGAGAGAAGACGCAACAATAAATGTTCGTATATTGCGTATTGTATTTGTGGTGGTGGTTACGTTAACATTACAATAGGTTTGGGGAGGGTTAATACAAGGAGGGAATTTAATGCCCATTTATAATTTTTATATGAACACAATATTTTTATATCTTTTGAATCTGGATGCCAAATGTTTCGACTGCATTGCTTCTAATTTTTTTTTTTTTTACTGTTATTTTCAATCTACTATATTTTGTTTTTCTGTTGTTTTTTTTTTACTTTTTTTTTTGTATTTGACAAAACCGACAGAATGTTGTAAACCTGGGAAGGTGCTCACACCTTAGTTGGTACGGCCTTTTAGATTATTTTTGATGTGCGATTATTACTGCATACTACCTATAGGACGCAGCACATAAAAAATATAAGTTAAACATTCAATAAGCATACCAAATTTGATTTAATTGACTAAAGGGCATTATTTGTACATTCCATACTGATTGGGTGTTTAAAAACAGTTGCAACAACCTCATAGGCAGTTGTTTCCGAGCTGGGAAAAATAAAAATAATCAAATTTTGCTTAAAACATTTTTTTTGAATAACAGTTTTGTTCGACTGGGATCTAGGATTCACAATTAGTAAAGTGTTTAATTCGATAAAATAATATTTATCGCTTTAATAATGCTTCGTCGTGTGTAAAATTTTTATGCGAAAGATTATTTCTTTTTTCAAGCACTAAATCTTGCTTTAGTCGACAAAATTTAGTTGTACTAAATATTTAGTCGACTTATTTGAGTTAACTAAAAAGTTAGTCGACTAATTTTAGTTATACTAAAAATTTAGTTAGCATTTTTAGTTAGACTAATACTAACCTTAATCCCACCCCTAAATAAAACCAATTGCAATTAGCTTTTTATATATTGGCTCTATATGCATTTCCTGAATAATTCTAAAAAACATTTTATGAACCCCTCATAGTTTTGTGGCATTTAGATTCTAAATATTGGTGTAGATTCTAAATGTTTAGATTCTAAATGTTGAACTCTAAATTCTAGATGTTATCTAGAATTTTTGACAAATATTTTATAATAGCAGTAAAAGTTTTTTTTTAATCTTTAAACTAATTATTCTTATTACAACATGTATCTTCTACATAAGCAGCACGTATTTAACTATCGGAAAAGATGAAGTTATTAACTTCTATATGTTTAAAACTAATTATAATATCAGTCACATGAAGATATCTAGACTAATTTTATACTAATGTATTGTAAACTAATGTAAACATAAGCCCTTGAAGTATTTGAAAAATAATTTTTTTTTTTTTTTCTTCCAAAAATAAACATTAGACGGTATGTTTAACAGAACTCATCTTAAAGGGATCTTAAACCACAGAGATATGTTGAGTTTATATTAAAGAGAATGATGAAAAAAACATGTTTGGGTAAAATTTGTTTGATTAAAACAAAATAATAATTGCATACCAAGAAAAAACAAACTTTTTTCTTTAAGTCGAAGCTCGCCTTCTCCGTTTTGTTGTAGGCCAAAAAGTCAACATAATATACGCTGCAATCTAAAGACTTATTTTTAAGAGTTTTAGTACATGACGTCTTTGGTTTTTTGTTTGTCAACATGTACTGAAACTCTGAGAAATAAAACGCGCTTGAATAAATTGTCTACAAGTCTGTAGATTGCAGAGTGACTTTTATTTTAAATTTTTTGATTAAAACAAAAGAATAAATGCATACCAAGAAAAAATAACTTTTTTATTTTAGTCGAAGTTTGCCTTCTCCGTTTTGTTGGTCTACAACAAAACGGAGAAGGCAAACTTCGACTAAAATAAAAAAGTTATTTTTTCTTGGTATGCATTTATTCTTTTGTTTTAATCAAAAAATTTAGCCCAAACATTTTTTTTTAATCATTCTTTTTATTATAAATACAACATGTCTCGTAGGTCTGGGATCCCTTTAATGTTTATTTTAAGGAAACAAAAATTAAAAAGGAACAAAATTACATCCTTTATTAAAAAAAAAATAAAGCATGTGCATAACTAATGTACTAAAACTCTGTGAGTAGTGCGTTAAAAGAAATAACAATCTTAAGTGCCTTTTTAGATAATATACAAAATTTGGTCATTTAAGAAAAATAGACTTTACTTTTAGAAAAAATGACTTTTCTAAAGTCTCTAGTAATCATAAAGCGGTAGTAGCAAGAAACAATCTTCAAAAAACTAAAAGGTTATTTTTTTATTGACTAATTTTTTAAGTAGAGCTAAAAGACCGTGGTCATCTATGGGATCCACAAAGTTTTTTCTTAAATTTAAACTTTAAAACAAATTTTTTTAATAAGTATTATAAATCTTTCATTATACTAAAGTTTGTTTTAAAAACAATTACATCAACCATAATTAATTTTTTAAAGTTTTAAATAAAATTATAATTACAGGTCAAAAATAAATAACAAACCAAAATTATTAAATTAGCTTGCATTTAAAACTTATAACAGCTTATAACTCATTTCAACTCATAACATGTTATCTAAACATGCAGTGAGTAGATAAGTATTTTCTTGCTCTTTAACTCTCTTTGTTTTCTCACAAACTATAAGTTGCTTTGTTTGGAGTGAATTTGTTTTTTCTCAAATTATAAGTTACTTGCCGCTTTGTTTGGAGTGAATTTGTTTTGAAAAAGTAAATTTGTTTTTGCTTATACTTAGGTGTGAATTTTAACAATTTAGAAAGTAGTTTTTACAAATATTTTTTCACTAATTTTTATCTAAACATTAAGAAGACTTTAAAGTACACCTAATATAATTTTTAATGCATAACAATTAAAAAATATTTTTTAAGTTAAAGTAATAATAAATAAATGAAGTTAAAGTAATAATAAATAAATAATATAGGGGAGGTTAAAGTAATAATAAATAAATAATTAGAATGATGAATGATCCCTGATATTACTTTATTAAACGATACAAAATGTTTTTAAATTTTAAGTCATTAGTTTCTTTACTTTATAACTTCTTTACTTACTAAAAATTAAAACAATTTTTGGATGTCTCCAAATAGGGATGGCGATCCCGGGACCCTGAAATCCCGGGATTTTGTACAAATTGTTTATCTCGAAATCCCGGGATTAGTCTCTGAAATATCCCAGGATTTTGGGATCATCAAAAAAAGTAAAATTTAATAAAGTTTAAGCTTATAATTGCAATTAAGTAATTTATAATGTACTTAATAAAGTGCATTGTCTATTTGCAATGTTTTCCTTTTAAAACTCTTTCTATTTTATTAAAAATAAAAACTCAAAACGTTTTGGCTTGTCTGCATAATATGTAAGATCAAACATATAAAATATAATATTATATTATCTATATCAGGGGCGGATCCAGCATTTTTAGGTCTTTGAGATTGCTAACTTCCAAAATTAAAAGCTCAAAAATTATGACCATATAAAGTTTATACCCCCCTCAATTTGAGGGGGTTGCAAATTTTATAGAGCCATAATTTTTGAACGCTAAAATATTTTACTATGAAATTTAAAATTTATCGATAAATATAAGCCTAGTTAAAAATAGTACAAAAAATATTTTATCAACTTGTTGCTCTCACGTTTGGGGCTGTGGCAGCAAAAATTTTGGGGCTTTTTTGTTCCCAGGCTCCAACCATTGCAATTTTTTGCAAAGCATCCTTATTTAACATGAGCATAAACATATAAATGTTTGGAGTTCGCTCCATGTTTGGAAGTTAGCAATCTCAAAGACCAAAAAATGCTGGATCCGCCCCTGTGTGTATGTGTATATATATATATATATATATATATATATATATATATATATATATATATATATATATATATATATATATATATATATATATACTGTATATGTATATATATATATATGTATATATATATATATATATATATATATATATATATATATATATATATATATATATATATATATATATATATATATATATATACACTGTATATGTATATATATATATATATATATATATATATATATATATATATATATATATATATATATATATATATATAATATATATATATATATATATATACAGTAAAGTAAGGCGGAAATAAATAGTAAACCATTTCGCCACCTTTTTATAAATCTCTATATATGACCATGACTAGGCGGGATGGTATTTTAAATTTACCGAATACCATCCTGTTAACTTTTTTCTCCACTTCGAGCACTGTATATATTTATATATATATATATATATATGTATATATATATATATATATATATATATATATATTATATATATATATATATATATATATATATATATACATATATATACAGTGCTCGAAGTGGAGAAAAAAGTTAACAGGATGGTTAAACAGGAAAAAAGTTAACAAAAATTAAGATCTTGCTTATGGAAAGAACAAGAGTTTTTAATAGAAGGTATACCTAATTTTATTTTGAATTTTCTGCCAAAACTATTCGTTATTTTAATTTCATTATTATATCCATTCATTCTAATTCCAGACATGTGCGTGATGCAAACTCCATTTTAATTTAAATAAACTTTAATTTCAAATATGTGAGTGATTGACGAAAGTTTTTTCAATTTAATTAATAAAGTTATCAAAAAATAGAAGGTTTATTAAATTAAAAAATTTTCTAATCGTCCGTTTAATTTATGAAGTCTTGCATATTTATATTATTTGTTAATTATTATTTTTATTTTTACTGTGTTACCATTTTAAGGTATTGTTTTATAATTTTAAGTACTTAGGTTCATTAATTTTTAAAAGTCATAGATAACTTTTAATATAACAAAATTAAAACATGTTTTTAACTTAATTTTAAGTTCATTAATATATTAAATATTTTAGTTAAACTATTATTAAAATAATCATTTTTAAGTGTTTGATGAATACTTAAAAAATATTCAATTGTGTTTTTTTCTATTAAATCCCGGGAAATCTTGGGGACAAATTTCTCAATCCTGAAATCACGGGATTGAAAATTTCTGGGATTTTGGCCATCCTTATCTCCTAAGTACAACTTAAGTAAAATCTTAGTCAAAATCATTTGTTTTGCAATAACCATGTGGCGAAATAAATTTTAATAATTAATACATGACAAAATACACCAATGGACGTCCTCAAAATTGTTCGTGTCTATGATTTCTCTTTATATTTAGTTTGGTTTTCCTTATTTAATTTTTAAGTAATTGATTTTATTTACAAAAAAAAAATGTTAGACATCCCATAACACATATACCCTGAAATATATAAGGTTATTGATGATATTTGAAATGTCACTTTATGTTAGATGTTAAAAGTATTAGTCTAAATTGTCACTTAATCATGAAGTTAAAAGCTACAAAATGATGAAACAAAACAATCTCTTTGAAAAGTATAATACAGAAAAAAATAAAAAATATCTTGTAAAGATAAGAGTCTTGTTGACTGTCTTGTTGACTCTTGTAAAATATTTATTTTTCTTAAAAAAAAAATGTTAGCAACATTTATGTTTTAAATCTTATGATAAAATTCTTCAAGATCACCTTAAATAATATTTTTTTTAAAATGCTTCTTACATATCTAAGATACTGAATCATCAGTGTTTTGGAGAAATTACTGACGCAATAAAAAATATTTTAAATTTTAAACATTTTTCTATTTTTGCTGATGAAGCAAAATAAAAAACCATAAAAAAAATAAAAAAGTAAAGAACAACTATTATTAAAGTTAATAATAGTTATTATTAAAGTTAATAATAGCTTTACTTTAACTGTAAGAGTTTAAGTAAAGAACAACTACATTGTTTGTTGATTTAAAGTTTAATAAGAGAATCAGTTTTTTAGATTACACAAATGGTGTTACTAGTTAAGGATTATTTTATGTTTGCTCATTGCAACAGTCATAGATTTGTGACTTGTACGAAATGCAATATGTCAAGTATCTTTTGGCACACAATGAGCTATCATACTTTCTAAACTTTTACTTACCAGGCAACAAAAGTTAGAGGAGCATTTTAAAACTACTGCTAAAACTACTTGAAACGAATTAAAAAAACAATTAAAATGTTTTGGCAGAACACATTCGGTGGAAAAAGTTTACTTTTGTTTTGGATACTTTTTAAGAACTTTGTGCTAGTTCCTCCAAAAATGATTTCAGAAGTTCAATTTACTTGCAAGCTTTCCATTAACTGTGAATGTGAGTGCACAATCTATTCACTTTGGCACCTGAAAAATTATACATGAATCACCATTGTACAGAATCACCATTCAAATTGTTTAGCTATGATGAATGTTTGTTCAGAGTTGATAATAAATTAAAAAAAACATTAATAAGTTTGCCTATCTATGCTCTGTTTTTATTTATTTATATAATACAATTTCAGGTAAAAATTATTTGCTAATTGTGTTTTCACATTAAAGACATTAAAATAATAGCTTTTAGATGAGCCTTTGATTTTCTTTGTTTTTTCAAAGATTTTATTTATGCCATGAAAGTTGTTTATTTCATTAATTTATTCCATCAGTAATAAAACAGTATTTTTTTTTAAATGTTATTTGTAGCTATTGCCTGCAGTTGAATTTGTACTTATTCAAAGTACAAATTCAACTGCACCATTTTATTTGGATTTGTATTTTTTTTTAATTAAAAACAGCTTTAACAGTGATAATCAAGTTTTTTATCATTATAGTATCATTAGTTATAATAAAACTTTTTTCCTTTATGATGCCAGTTGTAATTTTTTTTTCATAATCATAATGAAAAAAAGACTTAATTATAACTACTGACAACATACAGGAAAAAAGTTGAGTATATTTAGTGAGTATACCTATTCACTAAATAATTTATGGTCTACGTATTGATTATATTATTTGTACATATTAATTTTATTATTTAGAAAATTTTACATAATTTCAAATGATTCAATTATCAAAATGTAAAATTACCTTTTGAGCTTCAGGATCAGCCATTGCAACTAGTTTTGGCATTGCAAAAATAAAGAGGAATGGTAATACCATCATTAGTACCTATTTTGAAAAGCATAAACTTGTTGAAAAATAATAATAATAAGGTAAAAAATTAAATAACAAAATAACAAAATTACCATTGGATTAAAAAGAAAGTCTTTAACTTTCCATTCTTCACGCAGTTCGAAAAAAGCTGCACGCTCTGTTGCAAAAAAATTCAGCGGATAAGGAGCTGTTTGAACTGAGTTGATTGATAAAAAATTTACTTTTCGTACACGAATCTTTCCACCTTTAGTTATATCAACACGCATAAGTTCAAACTGATAGTTTGGAGATGCAACTTCAACTATATATGTTCCAGAGGGTATAGAACTAACAACAAAAGTACCATCTTCTTTAAGAAATCCTCTATAGTTACCTCCATCCACAATAACAACAGTATCTTGCATCCATTCTAATTAAAAAATAATAATTTTCAAAATAAACTAATTGACACGATAAAAACCTTTTTCAAAGCAAAGCAAACTAAGTTTATTTTTAAACTAAAGTAGGAAAAAAAAAATGCAAAAAAAGTATTCCATACAGGGACAAAAAAGAGTTTTGTAGAGATAGAAAATGGAATCAGAAGTAAGGAAATGGCAAGCATTACAAAGAGAAGCAACCTGGCAGATACTAACTTTGCCTATCTGGCAGATACTAACTTTGCAATCTATTGGTTACTGTTTTAGACCCGATCAGGACTAACACATGTAAGTTAGTAGCAAGGTTATTATTATATTATCTAAAATAGAAAAGAACTCAATATACATAATATAAATATAACGCATTATCACAATAACACAATACCACAGTTTCCATGAGAGTTTAGCAGAGTATAATAATCCATGAAGATGTAAAGAAGAGGAAAGACAGAAGGTTGCCATTTATTCATAAGGAATGTTGACAGTATTGCATAGCTATTTGCAATAAATAAGTTTTGTTGGAGCTAAAATTCACAAGCTATTGCAAGATTCAAGTTGTTAAAAAAGTAAGACTCAATTCAAGATCAGCTGGTTATTTAAGGCAATGGCAAAGAGAAGACTTTTTTTCAAAACAGGAATATAAAGTTGAGTCGCTAGCAAATAGAACCACTTTAGATGTAAGATTATTAGGAATATTATTAATTTAGATAAGAAACAACATAGGTCCAATCGATGAACTTTGAGATAACTGAGAAGTTACAGGAAATAAAACAGTGCTGACCTTCGAGGATGGCTTTAATAAAGCAGTTAAAAAGAAATGATTTGATAATCTCAAAAACATTTACAGATACACCATATGAAATAAGCTTATGTAGAAGATCAGCATGATATAGCTTTAGATATCTAGAGAGCAATAATCCTTGCCTCTCCATGCATCTAAGACACCAAAAATATTTTCAGTCAGAGCAGTTAGCAAGTCAGTTGCAGAATGAGAAGATCGAAAACCATATTGAGTGTCAAATAGTACTCTTCAGTATGCAATTGAAATTAGATTTGAATATACAAAGAATTCGTTCAAAAATAATGCCTTTTCAACATTTGAGAAGGCCTTCTTGTTGTTGTAAAGTATATAATCAGGAAAGGGAGTATCTTCAAAGCTTGATTAAATTTTGATGAACTTTGAGTAGAAATCATAAAAGTCTTTGAATTTATTAAAATTTTTTGGTTCTTTTTTTTTTTTAATAAATTTTTTTAAATTTTTTTTTAAATAACTTGTTAACTTTTTTAAATAACTTGTTAACTTTTTTAAATAACTTGTTAACTTTTTTAAATAACTTGTTAATTTTTTTAAATAACTTGTTAACTTTTTTAAATAACTTGTTAATTTTTTTAAATAACTTATTAATTTTTTTTAATAACTTGTTAATTTTTTTACATAACTTGTTAATTTTTTGTTTCTTAATTTAATAAACTCACTACTGAATTTTTTTAACTTTTGAAAAATTGATAAATCATTTGTTTTTACGAATCAAAATGATAATCTCTGCACAATTTTTTCATATTTTTCAACTCTTAATCGAACCATTCATTGTTGTTTTTATTCTTGACATGTATCTTTATCATCTTTTTTGGGTAAATGGCATTTAAATATTTATAATGTTGAGTTTGAAGTAGTTCGACATGTTGGTTGAGTTGTCATTTATTTTGAACTGTATGTTAGATTTATTTGTTATGTGGGATATGATTGTTATCTTTTTAATACTTAGTTGCCTGCTTTTTATTGTTTTTGAGTAATTGACTACTTCAGTGATACCATCAATCACTACAAAAACTGCATAGTGATCACTAAACGAAGTTTCTAAGACGAGCATTTATATTTTTGCTGAACTTTTACTTAATAAAACATCAATCATACTTTTAGATGTGTTGTATTTATTGTCTTTTTTTAAATTAATTTTAGTTGTAAATTTTAGTTGTAATTTTAGTTTAACAAAAAAACAGATGTTAACTGTATTTTAAAGATATAATGGTAAGCATTTAGTGGCACATATGTTCCACACCAGATTTTCTTATCAGTTATGCATATATATATATATATATATATATATATATATATATATATATATATATATATATATATATATATATATATATATATATATATATATATATATATCACGAGTATAATGAACGCATGTATATTTGTGTAAATAAGATAAAAATAATTAATTCTCAAAATAATTGTAGATAAAAGAAAATATTTAAAATAAAAATAGTTTTGTAACACCTGTATTTTTATTTTCCCCACTAGATTGAAGTACAGAAACTTTCCCTTCAATTTTGTAAGTTTGTATTACAGTATCCTCTTCAGAAACGACATTGGTTAATATTAAGTTTACAATCATTAACTTAAAACTAAATATTAAAACTTTATCGATGATCATAATAGGGTCTAGTATATAAATTCCAAATGTTAACAAGTAATATTTAAACTTAAGGGGCTGAATTTACAAGGAAGTTCGTCCCGATTGAAATTGAATACTCGTCGTAATTGAAAATTATGAGAATATTTCTCGGTCAAATGAAAAGAAAGTTTAATTTGAAAATGGCGGAAGTACCGTTCAAGATATAAATAACAGTGTAGAGCGCGCGCGCGAGTCCCGACACCCTTCTTACGCTTGGTTTCTAATAGTTGTAGGAAATGTTGTGCAACAGTTGTGCGTTTTTGTTGTACAACAATTGTTGCCGAAATAGGTTTAATTCTATCTCCACAATCTTTGTTTTACAACATAAATTTTGTTGTACAACCGGCGTTAAGTTGCACAACTTACGCAAGAAAATGTTTCCACTATAAAATAATATTGTTGTACAACTGTTGACAACAGTGTTGTACGACGTTTCTACAACTATTGGAAACCAAGCTTTAGTTCTTTTTCATCGTTATTTTCTATTTATAAATAGTATTGAAAGATTATACTAGAGAAAAATGCTTAAAATTTTTTTTTTAATGAAATTGTATTCTCAAAACATTGAAATTAAGGTTCACTCAAATTACATCATCAGTTTGTCTTCAATGTTAGGTCGTACTACAAAAAATCTGAACGAAGATAAGTGTTGTTAATCTTCGTTCAGATATTCCAATTTCCAAAAATCCAATATTTATCAAACTTTTTTTTTTTCATGCAACAGCTTTTAAATAACCAATGACAAATAGAATTAGGGTTGCCAGAATATAGTAAAAATATAGATTTTTACTGTTCTCCTTCATAAAAGCCGGACATCTGACAACGCTAGATAGAATCATAATAATTCTCTAGGCTTTTATTACTAAAATAATACCTTTGATCTTTATCACTAAAATAATACCTTTGAGTAGTGTTGTTAATGTCTGGCTTTTAAAAAAGGAGAACACAGTAAAAATTTATTTTTATAGCTTCGGCACTCTATTTTCAAACGTAAAAACCGTACATCTAGCAACCCATTAATTAATTGAAAATAGCAAGAGTAGCTCTTATATAAAAAAAAAATACAACAGCTCTGTAGATAGCTACCCCGGTGTATCTATCAGTAAATGATGAGCAAGCAATGAGAAAACTCAATAAATTAAAATCTGAATTAATGCAGTGATTTATAAGACTCGTGAAGTAATCATTGTTTCGACTTGTCCAGAGATCTGTTGTAAAACTAACTCCTATCACGTTTCGAAAATCTTTGATAAATTCTAGTTGCAACCCTTCCTTAACCTTGTCATACAACATTGGAAGTTTATGAGTCTAAATGTTGATGCAGATTTGACAGTGTTTTTATTATTTATTTCATCAATAAATTCTTGAGCTCCTTTATTATCCAAAATTTCAAAAGGTAGACCAAGTTTGCTAACAAAATCTAAGTTAAATCTAAGTAAAACTTTAATTACTTTGGATCATTTAACCCATATTTTTGATTTTTTAATATACTACTTTCAATTGTTGTTGTTTTGGCGTCTTTTGCTTTATCAAGCTTTCGTTTATTAGGTAATTCGATGGTTTTTAAAAGATATTCCTTCCAAGATTCTTCATGTTTGGCTTTAACATGGTTGGTTATCGTTGACATACTGCGACAGTTTATTTTGTAAGATTCAAAGCAAATTTTACATTTAGCTTCAAATTTATTCAGTTTTTCAAAGAATTTCCCATTTCACTTTCTTTCGACATCTTCAATTTGAATAAAGTATGAAGTGCTTGTATGATAACCGGACTAAAAAAAAATGAAATTAAAAAAATATATATATACATTTTTGTTTTGGTCAAGTAGCAGCTAAGTTGATAACAAGAAGTATAAGATTAGAAAAGATTAAAATTAGATTAAAAAAAAAGAAAAATTCACAAATGAATTTAATTGAAGGCTTATTCATGTTTGAACAAACAGTTTTGTTAATGAAAATGTTTACAATTCATGTTTACAGAGTTGTTATTAATCATAATCGATTTGTTGAATTAAGGAAATTGTAGAGGCTTATATATAAAATATAATAGGGTAAGGCGGGACGAGTTCGTCATGTTTTACTTTAACAAAATGAATTCGCATATAAATAAGTGAACTTTTCTAGTTTAAAAACTTTTTTTTATTAATTAGGGTCTCTATTTTGTTAATGTATTGAATCAAAATGAATTCTAAAGTTACTTTAGCGTATAATTTGATTTTTTCATCATCAAATCATGAGGGGCGAATTCGTCAATTACGGGGCGAATTCGTCAGTACAGCTAAACTAATTTAAAAATTCGTGACTCGGGCGATAGACGAAATTCCTTTCTAGTGGTAAAGGCAACTTACCTAGGAGAAAAAAACTTTGACATAAAACATTTTTGAGGTCACAGTAGGATGATTTCCCTAATCTAGAAGTAAACCTAGAAGTTGCGAGTTCGATTCCCACCGCGTCCCTGGTAGTACTGCGCTCAACTTGTTTTTTCTCTGAACTCTATAACTCCGAAACACGAACCTTGATCGTCAAGGTTCGTGTTTCGGAGTTATAGAGTTGAGAGAGGGTTGTAAACACAACTAAAGTAGCCTCCTCGACTGCAGTGGCCTAGGGTAAAAGGACATCAAAAAGGACATCAAAAAGGACATCAAAAAGGACATCTAAAAGGACATCAATTGTTAAACTTTTTCCAAGAAAATATCAAATAATGATTTTGGCATAAATGAAAACCGTATAACCGCGCTAGGGCAAAAAATAGCACGTTAAAGCAACAAAAAATCATATCACCACTATGACTATTTAAATAACAAAAATCATATCACTACTATGACTATTTAAAAATTTACAAGACGTTTATATGTTCATTGCACACAATTTGCACATGTATCAACTCCAAAACATCCTTCGCATGCCCACTGATTGCAATTTAAACATTTAAGCCAATCTTCACTTGCTTCTGCCCAAACAGCTGCACAAACACAACAAAAGTCTTTATCAGTGTTATTTTTTAGAATAAAATTTGAAGAACTTGGGTGATCAGAATCAGCTGAAAAAAAAGTCTTTTTTGATTTGGTTTTAACTGATTTATCGTGATCCTTTTTTGACTTCTGTTTAACACTGACCACATTTTTTATTGCAGCCTTTTTAGTAGGAGGCTCTTTTATTAACTTAACATTACCTGGTGATGTAATAAGAGCAATGTGGCGTTTTGAATGAGTAGGTTTCCTTTTTTTTTCAGGAGAAGGTATAATAGTCCTTAAAATAGATAAATTTTGGTCTCCCTGGTGAATTGTTGTTTTATTTAAAACCTCTGCTTTTTTATATTCGAAATCTTTTACTGGGTTTCTTAGGGGATGCAAACCACAATGGTAAAACGCATTAACAATCAATCCTCTTTTTGTAAGTATATTTGGCCATATTTTGTTAAAAATAATGTGAAAGTTGCAACGAGGCAAAGAAATATCATCATTTTCAGCTAAGTAATTAGACAAGGCTTCAGACCACATATGTTTAACTTCTTTATTAACATGTGTGTCAAGTGGTTGAAGGCGATGTGTACTATGAGGTGGAATGCATATTATTTCAATATCCATCTTTATTGCTAATTCAATCGCTTCAATAGTCACATGACTTTTGTGGCCATCCAAAAATAGCAATACTTTTTTCCCATTCACTTTTGTACAAAACTCATTAAAATGATGTAAATAAGCAATAAAAATCTCTTGATCAATATATCCACTTTGACTACAATGCACTTTTGTACCCAAAGGAAATTTAGATGCATCTGGAATCTTTGTTCCCTTAAATAAAAAAAATGGTGGTAAGCTGTCTCCTGCTGCATTAACAATGGCCAGGTATGTTGTTAGTGTGCCACGTTCACCAATAGTTAACTTTTGTACCTCATGAAAACCCTTTAATGCTATTACCTTAACAGAGACATTTGGCACAGATGAAAGGCCAGTTTCATCACAGTTATTAATCAAATTTGGATTATTTTTTATGTCAAGCTGTTCATAAAAAGGTTGTAAATCGTTAAAAAATGTCTGAATGCGATTCTCATTAAATGCTTCTGCTCTTGCTCGAGAAAGCCCTTCAGGAATTCTTAGTGTCAACTGAGTATTCCTTTTTCGGAATGAGAGAAACCAATCACGTGATGCCAAACATTTATTATGCCAACTTTTTGGAATGGACTTCTGTAATAAATGACGTCTACACAAGCTTTTGGCATAGAAATAAGCAGCAGATCTTAACCACATTATTGTGAGAGGAAACCCTCTATCAGCCATATAAAGCAGCCTTTGAACAAGAGTTTCTTCTTGATTTTTAAAGAAAATTGTTTTACCACCTATAGGATGTGTTTGATGTTTTCCCCGTAATTTATCAATCATAGTTGTACGTGGAATATTAAATTGTTTTGCTGCAGTTGATACCCGGTGGGAAATGAGCTAGCGACTAGCTAGCGACTAGCTAGCTCTATAGCGATTTTCTAGCGATTTTTTTTTTCTTATTTTATTTTTTGCAAATGTCTTTAACATCTTTAAAAATTCGATTTTTAGTGTTGAGTCTATTATAACTATGAAAATAATTGAACTTTAAACATTGCGATTTTGTAGCAATGTGTCGCTAGCTACATATCGTAGCTTTGTAGCTAGCTACAAAATATCTACAAATCTATACCTGGTTGATAGCTACATATCAAAAATTTTTAGACAACGGTTTCATTACGATATGACGCTAGGTACAATAGCCAGTGGATCTTCAGCTTGTTAAGCTAGCTGTCCTCGTTGCCAAATCGCTGTCTTTATCTTTACAAAAATCGATAGCTTTTCGCTAACTTAAAAAAGCTAGCGATCCTCGTGGCCAAATCGCTGTCTTTATCGTAACGATTATAGCTAGCTATTCGCTAGCCGACTTCCCACCGGGTATAGTTTCTCCATCTATAATGGTTTGCAGAGCAGCCTGAAAAATTTCTGCATTATAATTTTTTTGTCGCTTTGGTTTATAATTACGTACCATCTATACATTTTAACATGAAAAATAATGTTATTAAAATCTACCATAAGTAATAATACATTCTTAGTTTTTTTTATATTGGTATATATATAAATAAATATATATATATATACAATATGTATATACATATATATATATATATATATATATA